TACCCTCTTATGTGTTCAATCTATACAGAGAACATATTACAGTATACAGAAAGACAGACTAGATTCAGATGAAGGAAGAGTAAAAATTGGGGGAAGAAACATTCATAATTTAAGATATGCAAATAACAGCATCTTAGGGACAGAAAATAGCAATTATCTGAAACGACTTCTGATGAAAGTGAAAAAACAAAGTGCTACAGCAGTACTGCAGCTTGAACATTAAGACGACAAAAATCTTGACTAAAGAAGAACTATACAACTTTTAATGTTGGCAATGAAGAAATTAGAGATTTTGTATACCTTGTTTCAACTACCAATCCAACTGTAGAATGCAACCACGAAATCAGAAGACTGAGACTCAAAAGGGCTACAGTGAAGGAATTTAAAAAAGATAATCAAGTGTAACAGTGTGTCACTGGAGACCAAGATCAAGATCACTATCTACAGGTGCAAAATCTGGAAAGTGAAGGAAACCAACAGAAAAAAAATTGATTTGGTGCTGGAGGAGAGCTTTACAAATATGCCAGACCATCAGAAGGATGAATAAATGCGTCCTAGAGTAAATCAAGCCTTTCCTCTGGAGGCAAAAATAGTGAAATGTAGGCCATCATACTTTTGACATATCTTGAGAAGAGAGGATTCACTGGAAAAGACAATAATGCTAGGATATGTTGAGGGCAGCGGGGGGGGGGGGGGACCAAATATGAGATGGATTGACTCCATAAAGAAGCCACAGCCTTGAGTTTACAGGAGCTAAAGAGGGCAGTTAAGGACAGGATTAGCTCAGGCTGGGCTACTTCCACAGGTTGGTGCAGCATGAATGATGACGGTCCTGCTCACTACACTACAAGTACTAAGTGGATGGCCTGATTCTGGAGGGGGGGTGTCCTATCAGCCCAGCCACTTGCAGTGGCGATATTCGTATTCACCTCCCCTGAGAGACGGATCCAATTATCCCATCTTTAGACAAGATACAGTGGTGCCTCACATAACGAGTGCACCGTTTAACGACGAATCCGCATAGCGATCTGATTTTTAGATCGCTAATGCGATCGCATTGCGAAGTTTTAATGGGTAAAACATCGCATTGCGATGATAGGTAAGCGTTTCGCTTACCGATCTTTGCATTGCGATTTTTTTTAAACCGCTGATTGGCGGTTCCAAAATGGCCGCTGGGTGCCTAAAATGGCCACTGCAAGTGTTTTTGCGCCCTGCCCTCGCTTACCAAGGGCGCGAAAATGGCGGCGCTATGGAGGAACTTCGCTCAATGGTGGGTTTGGGAGCCATAGGAACGCATTAAATGAAGTTTATGCGTTCCTATGGCTTTTTCGGTTATGTTTAGCGATGCTTCAGCATAGCGACAATTAATCCAGAATGGATTAACGTCGCTATGCGGGGCACCACTGTACTTTGGAGCTCACTCATTCATAGAATTTTCAAAAGTAAGAGGCAACTTGTTGGCATGTAACAATGACATAATTTACAGTTTTCATGGTTTTAACAATTCTCAGAAAATTACTAGTATTTTTTAAAAATCAAATTAGCATATTGATAAATACAGTGGTACCTCGACTTGAGGATGTCCCTACATAAGAACGATTCAAGTTAAGAATGGCTTTGTTTGCAAAAAGTTGCTTCGACTTGAGAACAGAGCCTTGACTTAAGAACAATTTTTAAAAAAAATATGAAAAAAACCCCTTTCCTGCTCTTTTTTGACCTAAGTTCACCTTAGGTCAAAAGAAGAAAAAATTAAAAAAATTCCCCCCCTAGTGGTAGATATGGATTAACCAGCTTTGCATTAGTTCCTATGGGAACTAATGCTTCGACTTAACAGTGCCTTGATTTAAGAACGAAAAACAGCAGATACGGATTAAATGGTTTTCAGTGCATTCCTATGGGAAATGGTGCTTTGATTTAAGAACGTTTTGACTTAAGAACACAGTCCCAATACGGATTAAGTTCTTAAGTCGAGGTACCACTGTACTTTACTAATTACCTTGCAATGGACTTGAACTGTGTTGCAGTGAACCTTGCAATCAGGGAATGAAGTTGATCCTGAACAATAAAACAATCCACAGTACTTTTTTTTTTTCAAATGAAACAGAACCAGCACCAAATCCTCCTGCTCAGCCACCCAACATTCAGGTTACCAGTTCCCTCATTAGATTTTGTTCTGGTATAGTGGTTTTAACCATGAGACATGAGAATGAAAGAGCCATTATAAGGGATATACTTTTATTTCATATAATGTAAATAGCTAGGGTTACTGAAGGATCTAATCATGTTCATATCTCCTTTTTTTAAAAAAACCCTATGTAGATTTTTATCCAGTACACATTAATTTTATCAAAAATTATGCAAATCTTAATCAGTTAACTCAAAAATTCAATGACAGATGCATGATGATTCTACACACTGTTCTGGTCCTCTTCCATCACTGCTTGCTTCTTCAGTTATTTACATGTCCCTGAATGTAAAGTGAAATACTGTTCAATACTTCCTGTACAATTTCATGCATGCTTAATAGTGCTCGTAAATGACATTTATTCCCCAAAAGAGGAAAGGTGATTTGAGGCGGAGGCAAGGGCAGGACAGGCATCTCTCAGACTGGTGTAATTTCCCATCAGTGCCTCTCAACAAACAGGCCTTTTTAGATCCATTGATCTGATCTACTCCATTTTGTGGTCAGTATGATTTATGTGAATCAAAAAGAACCACTGACTAAACTTTAACTGGTAACAACTAGAATGGAAGTAAAACAGTCTCAGCCACAGATGGATGTACATAAAAGTAAGGAAAGTACTGTATTCCTTCATGCAATCCCAACTTTTGGTCATTAAAGGTTTTGCATAAAGCTTTAACTGTTATGCCATTTCCCCTCAACCTAGGATTTACTAATGTTTTCCACCTCAGCTCCTATCAATCTGAGCCAGCGTGATCAATGGGAAAAAATGCTGGGCATTGTAGTCCAGACTATGTGAAGAGTACTACATGGGGGGGGTAGGTGCTGGATCAAAGTAGAAGCCTTGACAACATTTAACTCCTTCTCAAATTAATAGTAAAATGAATAGAATTGTGTGTAGTCAAGACAATCCCAATTTTTGGTGCCCATGCCAGGATTCTGTAGGTATAAAGTACTCAGAAATGGTTTACCAGTCCCTTCAACTGGTGATGCATTTTGTGCAGTTTGTCCTTGTTCTCTTAGTTTTATTTTTAAAAACCTCTATGCATATTTTCATCCAGTAGACATAGGCCAGTTCTTCTTCCTAAAGGCAGAGATGGGGGATTCAACTCCCAGCCATTGGCTCCATGCTCCAACTCCCTGACTCAGCTATCCTGTCAGGAAATGTGTTTGGTACTCAGAAGAGCATTTCCTGAACAAATCTAGATGAGCATTTGAAGACAGAGCAGCATATTTAAATCTGAAAATTCACCCTTAAAATATTTAAACATTTTTAGTATAATTTAGGGCTATGAGCAGAATGAATAGTACAGTATATATGTATACCACAGTATTCTGAAGCAGTTTCATCAAGGGTCAACCAGTAGAGTCAGGGATCAGTACTTCAAGATCAGGGAGCAGCCTTAAATCTCCTGCTATTCTATGTTCCTGTTTTGGTGGGTAATGATTTGGATTTTAAAAATGTATAGATGAGTATGCAAGACTACATTTGAGTTAGAAATAAGAAGTGCAAATTTCCTCCACTGTGTTCATACAGCTATTCCAATTTAGAACTGAAGCTAGGCCTTTTAAGTAAAAAAAAAAATTAAGTCTTATCATCAGACTTCAAGCACAGAATTGTTTTTCTGTTCCAGTGTGCATATTTGTAAAAGGTACTAGTGTCTTCCCTCAAGGCAACAGGTAAAGCAAAGGTGTCATTTTGAGGATATTCACTACTATAGCATACAAAAAGCCATAACTTAAGAAGCTACCTTCTTCGATGATCATGCTAGGAGAGGAAAATGTCAACGTTCTTGCAGGATTTCCCTTAAATTTCACTTTACTGAACAGTCTATGACTTAAATTATGTGTAGAGATAATATACTAAACAGCAAATGGAACAAAAACAGACGAACATGGAAGCCTGCTGCAAGTTTCTCTTATTACTGTACCTCTAGAAGTGAAAGTGATAAAATTGGAGGCTCCACATATTTAAGACTGATGAATGCTAGCTCACCTTGAACAGCTAGCTCTGTATTAGATACTACAGTACATGTTTCAAAGAGCATACAGGTAAAACAGATTTGATAGTTCATATTTCACAGACATAAGGAATGGCTTTTCTACAAATGTCACACAAATGTTTTTCTGTTTTTCTTTTCCTGGCACTGCAAATATTTAATTCTCTTAAGCCAACTTTCCTTTTCAAATGGATATTAACTACTTCCCCATTATCTCATTTTGGAGTGTGTCTGCTGCTTCCACCAGAAAAGAAAACACAGCATTTTACAGTGTGCACAGATTCCTTTCTGGAGTTGCAATTGTTAATTTGCTAATACTGGTTACAATTATAGCAATGTGTGTCACTCAGTGATGAGGCACACAGTTATTTTAGTCCTCTGAAGTGTAGCTCCCTCACTTTGCAATGATAAAATTTAGCCATTTTGTATAAAATGACTTTATTTTAATGCATATAGTTTTCACACTGAGGAAACTAGGAGGAAATTAATCTGTGCTGCACTGAGTTCAGTTGTAAATGGAAGGTAATATAAGAACATCCACAAACAAAAATATTATCTTTGCATCTTCTTGTTTCATTAAAAGGAGTAATTAACAACCATCACAAAGTTATACCAGCACACTCACATTTTAAATCAAGGAGGAGAAAAATGAAGAATGATAACCTAGTGAGAGTGCTGGGAATGATTTTTAAGAGCCCCATGAGCAGCCATTAATCTTTCATCTCTGGATTCTCTTTACACAATCCTTTCAGAAAGGAAAGAATCTGATCAGTTTCAATAAAGCTCTTTCAGAATAAAAGGAATTAACTGAAGCTTACCTGTATTGGAATGTCATGTTTGTAATTTTTATCTTTATTTCTTCTCCATGGCGAATTTCTCCAGTCATTTCAAAGAGTTTGTTTGCCATTTTCTCATAAACTTTGGCATTCCTTTTAGTTTGTTTCAGTTCATCAAAAAATTCTTCCCAAACCAGCATTAAACCTCTCATTTCTGCATCAGTCCAATTCCTAGCCCTTCTGTGCTTCTCAGTCTGAGCAGAAACAATATAACTGGGGATTTCTGCTGCAGCCATTGCTGACTGACCTGAAAGGGTTTTTAAAAGAGAACACTTAATGTAGATTTTAGTTTTTAGTTTAGGATTTTGCAGTGCAATGCATGCATATGAAGCTACAGGATTTGAATGACAACAGAACACATGAAACCTCTTTGCAACAGCTTGAAGCTTGAGTGCACAAAATGGGGCCTACATCTGACAGGCAGGAATTTAGTTAAAAGCTTTTAAACAGAGAAACGTCATTTTGATGTCACGTTTCCATAGCAACAGAGCAACTGCATAAGCTACAACAACAAAAACCTTTTAACTGAAAGCAAAAGAATCAGGACAAAGTTGACAGGCCATCAATATTAAAGCTTTTAAACACTTTAGGTTTAACAAAAACAACAACAAAAAAGATCTATGCAGCCTTTGAGAAGCCACTTTTAAGTTTCCACTTCTTTTTTTATATTTTTCTTACCTTTTAGGCAATCTGCTGCAGGCAGGGGGTCATGGCTGTCTGAATAAGCTTTTAAGTTGTGCCCTGACAGACTCGCTAGGAGGTGGCAAAGACTGAGGCCATGTACACAAAAAAGACCCCTTTTTAACAATTGCCTCTAAAACATTTCACATACCTTTGCAGAAAGCATGGTTAACCTCTGAAATACACCAGCAGTAGAAAAGAAAACAGTTAAGCCACTAAACGATGCTGGCTTCACATTTCAGGAACATACGTCCATGACTGTGTGTTTACATATATGTGCATGTGTGTGTGAGAGAGAGAGAGCCAGAGGCCCTACTGGGCTCCAAGATGCTTTCTGCTGCTAAGCATACTCCTCTGCCCATGCTGTCAGCATGAATTTGCCTTTTGTTAGGTTCATATTACCACATATGTATTTGCTCTATGAACAATTTGGATGCTGTTGGGAGTCTTATTCGGCTATGTGCCGCTTCCTCAGGACTGCAGCTGAGGCATTTTAAACCTGCCTTGTGGTGAACTCATAAAGATTATTTATTGTGTTAAAGGGGGTGGGAAGAGGGGGATGGCATGAGGATTAAAAACTGTAAATACATTGCTCTATTTCCATGGCAGTTTCCTTCACAGAAGGCCAGTTTCTGCAGACTGCTAGGATGGCAAAACACCGTTTAATCTTCCTGACACACCATGCCAATAGCATGTGTTATGCAAAACAGGACTCAATTCTGTCATTATGATCCAGGCAATATATCTTTCAAAGCTGATAGTGGCCAAAGCATTAATTCTAGTATACTCGAAATGTATCTACTGCTTTGATTTTACAAGAAATCCTAAACAGAAAGAGGTATCTGGCAGTGTTTTCTTTTTTTGACGTGCGGTAATAGTGTAAGTGGCAGTAGTCGTTGATTCCCCCCTCCCCAGAGATTGATGGTGAGCAGGAGTTAATATGTCCAGCAGATTGTTAATCCCTGGGAAATGTTCTCAGTCTATACTTAAGTATCCTCTGAACTAATTACATTCTTAGTCTGAAGAACTGTTAAAAATATCAGAACCTTAAAAAAAGGTGTGTGTGTGGGGAAGAGATCACAATATATCTCTTTCAAGGCTATAAACATAGACCTTCTTTCCTGGCTGGTATCCATCCATTTTAAAGAATTTTTCATCTCAGTGCAGCATTTTTATGAAAGATAGTCAGAATTAAATTTTGCTAAATAAAGAGATTAACTGACATTCAACTAGAACAACAAAACAACAAGTAGAAACTCTGTTATTGAGTCACAGGTTCCTACAGGAGATCTGGCATTCAACCAAGAAGTGCTTTTTGAAAGAATGACTGAAGCCCTGTGTAGAAAATCACCCCTTTAAGCAGAGTGTATGCTGGCAGGGGACATCTCTGAGAGACTCAGTTAAGAGGCATCATGTGACTGGGAGACAGATGGCGATGTGGATGAGGATTAACTGTCAGCAGGTTCTTCTTTTCATTTTGTGAGGAGTTTCAGACTTTCTTGGTGTTGCCTCAGGCCACACCATTGATAAATAATTTTAACTGTGACTGGCTAGCAAACTTTGGGAATGGAGATCAGGAATTGTTTTCAGAAAATAAGTCCTCTGCCCGCTTTACACTTTTTTCTCTAGAGTGGCCCTCCAACAAAACATTTCTGTAACAAAAATAAAAATTTAGAAAGGCTTTATTATGACCACCTATTCTTTAAATTTAGACAAATTCGTATGGACAGCAACATGGCAGGAAACCCTGTATCTCACTGAGAGGTTTGTATACATTCTTTCCACTTTGAAATGCTTGCTATGGATGTTACTTATGGAGTAACACCTGTGGAAAAATATAATATTCAGCAATTTTGTACTTTCCCAGGCATTGAATTCAAACCTTTGGACTGAGATGAAAGACAGCACCAGGGGACAGCTGGTAAATTTTAAATACATCAATTTATTTAAAACATGCAAGGAAAACATTAAGAAAAGCAGCAGACTTCAGAAGCGAGGAGAGGGGGGGATAACAACTTTGAAACAGCTTTCCCAAAACTAAACCTCAGATCATCACGTTCCTCTGCACTGCTTCTAGTTAAGTTACTGCCAGGTAAAAATTATCAGCTGTCTCTGCTCCCATGTCTAAATTCTATCTGAAATAGCTTCTAGTGTTCTCTTTGTCCCTTCTTCATATGATAATAGTTGTTGCATTTTGGAGGCTCAAGAGAAAAACACAGTTGGCTTATTTGGATCCTGCAGAACCAGTGGCAGCCCACCAAATTTGCCATGGCCACCAGAATAGCAGCTAAAGTTTGGGTGGATGTTCAATATTTCAATGACATGACTCTGTATTGTGATGTAAAACACAATGGAGGAGGTGTGGTTCTGTAGCAGTAAATTCAGAAGACTGTTTTGCCTGGAGGGGTTGAGATTTTAGAGTGGGGAGAAAAGCAGTTACATCATTAACAGTGCTGCCAGTTTTCCGTATTGGCAAACAGGCTACATAGCAAGAACTGCAGAAATAGTTTTGAGGCCCTTGTAGCCCACATGCCACATGCTCTACACCCTGATCTAGGGGAAGGAATAAGACATGATAATAAGATATTAAAGGGGTAAACTGGCATTTAAAATGTGGTGTAGTGCAGTGGTCTCCAATCTTGGGCCTCCAGATGTTCTTGGACTTCAACTCCCAGAAATCTTGGCCAGCAGAGGTGGTGGTGAAGGCTTCTGGGAGTTGCAGTCTAAGAACATCTGGAGGCCCAAGGTTGGGGACCACTGGTGTAGTGGATAGAGTGATGGAGTAGGACTCTGGAGAACAGGGTTGAAACCCCTGCTCAGCCATGGAAACTGATTGGGGAGGTGGAACTGGTAAAAACACTCCTTAAATATCGCACATACCTTGAAATCCCTATTAGGGTCTCTATAAGTTGATTCTGACTTGGTGGCACAGAACACACAGACTAGTGATAAGATATATTCTGTTTATTTGCCAGCTGGTTTCTAACAGTGACAACTCTGTCTACAAATCACAGATAAAACCAGACTTGTAAAAAAGCAAGACAAGCTTGGAATAAAGATTTAGAACAACTATTTACTTTATTCACTATTTTTATATGTCAACTTTATGCCAGTGAATCCAACCAAGCTGATATGTTGCAATTTAATAGATGGCATACATACAAATGGAAAAAGAAAAAAAAATGTAATATATGTAAGAAAGACAACAGTAACTAAACTGAAGAAATGCTTTTTACACACTGCTAGATAATTGGCCAATTATTGGGAGGGGGTGCCTATTGATCAGGCCTGACCTTAGGTGAACTGGATAGTAGTTGTTGTCTGAGGTGCTGAGCTGAGGTGGAGGAAGTGAACCTCAGCTGAACAGAACACCAAACTGAAAGGGGTGTCACCGGAGCCAGATTTAGACTTTGGGGGGGCCGGGCCACTAGAGCTTCAGAGACGCCTCCATACACGGCAAATCACCCAGTTTACACATTCAAGACCATTTTTTTGCATGTCATTGGAACTTATACATATATAGAAAGGTTAAATGAATTATATATCTGAAGTAAATACATATATACATTTCAATACATGCTATCAAAACTCCAGATAGATTTTTAGATAAGACAAATTACAAAGAACATAGGTTTGCTGCTATGTACTCTTTAGTTTCTGTTTTACACAACTAAATTAAACTCTAAATCTGGCAGTGCAAAAGTTTTAAGTTCATCCAAGGTAAGTACAGTAAGTTTTACTAGCTTACAGCTATATGCATCTCACTAGAATATCTACAAAAAGCCTTTCTTTCTACAGTTGGCATCTGAAAAACCTTTAATGAACTCCTCAAACTATATTTTCTTTAGAATACTGCTCTCTGCTTGTACATCCAGTAGGCACAGACCACTTGGTCCTGAGCTTGGCAAAGCCTGCAAGCTGGAGAAATTTATCTATGAACACCTTACTGAAATCAAGGGGGAAAGCAATGATAGTTTTCTCAGCTTCAGTTCTTATCTCTGTATCAGGTAAACAGCATAAATTGACTATGACTTTGAAACTGTCACACACGAATTGGTATGATATCCTGAGTTTTTGTAAGGCAAGAAACAACTGATCCAATATAACATTGAAGATCCCACATCTGAGGGACCTTCCTCATGAGGAAAGGACAAATTCTTCTGAGACTGAGGTTGGATTCATATTGCAACATTTGTTTCTCTTTCTTGGTCTCCCTGTAATTGCTTTGTAGTCTGTGTTGCCACAAAGGTTCCTCACATCCAATTCCAACTCTTCATACCTATCCCAAAGTGATTTCAGAAATTTATCTAGAGAATAAATTAGGTCCACCACTTTCTTCAGGTCAACTTCAACTCCTTGAATAGCTCTTTGTGTACTGTTGAACCATTCAAGAATCAAGTTCCAAATCTTGGCCATCAGAGCAGTTTTAAGACAATCTATATTATCTGTTAATATCTGAATTTCATGCCTTGCTTCAGGTGCTTGCTCCAAGTTTACTATATCTGAGGGCACTTTGAATGCAGTTGTATCCATCTACAAAGGCTTCAGTAGCATCATTTCTTGCGGATCAGTGAGTGTCTGACAGGGACTTCAGAGTTAGTGCTCTTTTCTTCCCTCCAAATATTTCATTAGATTTGCCTATCTGTGAGTAGATGCACAAAAAAGGGAATATAACCTTTGTATGAAGCCAAAATAACTAACAGCTTCAACACAGCAAGAGGCAG